TATTATGTTCTTTGTCGATTCGTTTCTTTACGATGTCTCCACCGCCTATAAGACGTCTAGTGGCCTGCACTCGGTAGAATGCTCGTGATTTTGGGCCTCTGAATGATTTCATTTTTCAATAAAAGTTTTTATGCGAAATAATCCAATTTTTAGACCTCGTTATCATCTCGTATTCAGCTTGCTTTTGCAATTCCGTGGGGGTTATATGCGGGTTCTTTTTTCGGATCTCCCTCATCAGTTCGATGAACTCCCGTCGGTGCTCTTCGAAAGCTCGGATAGCAGGATCTACGGAATCCGCCTGCAAAGCATGAATAAGACCTTTTTATGAAGCTCCTACGATTCTGTGGACTACGGTACAGGCTTGGTCTGGTTTATACCCAAATTAAACTGAAAATTTGCCCAATTTTCGCATATTTTTTGACAAAATCAATTGCCTCAGACCAGGTCGAGCCCTGAACCTGAGGGGTATAGAAAACTACATAAAACGTAATTCCAGGAGTTTTCCAACAAATGGCAATATGAAAGCCTGTCATAATTCTCTCCCCCGTTGGGCCAAGCACTCAATCCCTGTGGCTTAACCCCATCATTTTGCCTTCCATCATCGGGAATACTGCAGCCACTGTGGGTGGCCTTTCAGAAGCCAGTCCAATCCTAGCCATAGGTCTCCTTTCACTTTCAGTAAGCCATTGATTAAGAAGTAACATTTCCTGGAAGCCTTTTAGAAGACCAAAGTTTCAGCAGACTAAAGAGCTTTTAAAGGATGAAAAATAGTTCAGAGCAGCAGTGAATTCTGTAGTTTTGAGTCGAGATCCATACATATGTATATGGTAGTGGAAGGGTCAGAAGACTACTATTAGTCTGAGCGAAGTTCTGAGAATCCTAGCTCCAACTTGACTTCAAACATACACCGATGAGATAGGGGTGTCTTTCACCGAAGAGGTTGGGGTGTCTTTCATACCACCCGACTGCCAAATGGGCTTCGTTGTGCTCCTGTCTGATTTGCAGAGTTGGAAAGAACGAATGTCAACTTCCAAGCTTTTCGATATCAGGGGATGATTGATAGACAGTGAACCTCTACGTAATTCACTAGAATTTTGGCCATCATTTGAGCTGCTTCCTATCTCCAAAATTCCTATCAACCACCTCCCCCCTCAAAAGTGGCGATCTCGTTCTTCAACAATCGTAAGGATACCCTTACTGAGCAGATAGATTATAATAAAGCAAAAGGAAACAAAATCTCACAAAGTGGTAAGGAAGAAAGAGAAACTAAGTCACCGTTGACTCTACCTGACTGAAGTCCTTGTATGCCTGTGTGATTCCGTTACTTTCCAACATTTTCAATTCCTCACCCTCGGTGGCGATCATTCCATGAGATCCACGACGATAGCGGCGAGGAAGGAAACGGGTCTGGAACATTAGTCAGATTACCTTTGATCAATCGCTTCCTCCCGAAGAAACGGTTAAATACCTGAATGATTTTGATATCAGCAATCCAAGCTGTAAGTACGGTAAGTGGGAAGAAGGCAAATGTAAGAAGTCCTTCCCATATTTCAATTTCTCCTGGCGATACTACAGCCAAAATCACATACATCCAGATATAAGCAAAAATTGACCTGAATGTTTACAGTAACAACG